TAACATGAATAAATTGAAATATTTAATTAAATTATCCCAATATAAACCTTCATTTCGGTGCAATATTGAAATTAGCTTGAGTTCTTCATAACCTTTGAATAGTGGGTGACCCAACGGGTCACGTGTGGTCTAGTTATATTATAAAAATCTGATATTTAAACACATAATATATATATATATATATATATACATTGCATTCATTAAAATTATTTAATTCTTTCCTTCACTTACTTAATAGCAATGTTTCTGAGTGTATTAATTGGGTAGTCTTCCAAGCTTGCCAAACTTGACACAACTGTTACAGAGCTCCCTGGATGCAAGCTCAATTCATTTACCTTCTTCTGAATATATAACCTTAAAAAAAGAAAATATAAGACCACTATATTTAATTACTCAGCAATAAATACTAAATAAAAAAAATATATTATACAAGTAATGACATTATAAATGTGCCACAAAAAATGTCTTGATTCTAAACACTGCATCTATTAAAGTTCTTCAAACCAAAACAATAACAATCAATCAAATTTCCAAATATCTCAAGCAGAGAATTAGAGAAGTAACATTATTCATATAGATAATTTTTAAGAGTGTATAACAATCATAATACAAACTGCATGTTAATAAGTATTGTATATACTGGTATCAGAAATGTTTGCCAGCATCTAATTACCATGCAGAAACTGAATGCCTGCAATAAATGATTGACATGATAAATAATCACTAACAAATTCTTCATAGCAATAATCATGTCATCAATAACCAGTTAATAAAGACCATTTATCATCATCTTCAAGGCCAAAAGTTATAATTTTCCTATACCGAAAATGTATTTCCGATAGATACTTGCCTCTTCTCACAGAAATAGCTATTCTTGTTCAGCAAAAAAATTATTTCACATATGCTACAAGCCTTCTGCCTCACCTCCATTGGAAATGACTCATTCCAATATGTCTTTCATGAAAATCATCATGCGACAACCCTCCATCAATGAGAGTGAAACACACTCTTGTTACTCATGTGACTCCCTCTACTCAATTCTACCAGACTATCACTTCGAGTTTTGGCAGAAAATAGAATCACTGGTTTTCAGTGGGGAGGAAGGGTGGGAAGTGTGAAAGGAGGTAAGTACCTATCGGAAATACATTTTCATTATATGAAAATTATAACTTCAAATATGGTACATTACCTCCACTCACATAGATAGCTAGAATCCCACACTGAATAGGTTGATGGACTGGTGTAAGGGAAAGAAAGAAGCATCCTTCGAAAGTGTCAGAATGACATACCTTGAGACAAGAGAGTCAGATCCAAAGGTCTGATGTGGGAGACCACACCACATATGAACCAGGTATACTGTTGGCCCATCGGAGAAAAGTGTGGTATATATGGATGGAACAACAGGGGAGCACATCCAAGAGGTGTGGGAAAAAATAATGGAAGTGCCCCCAAGTATAGAGTGGCTAGAGCACGACAGACCACACTTAGCATGTCAACTATCTACATCCAAAATCCATGTTGCTGGAAACCGACATGCATACAAGGGTAGAATGACGATCATATCATCTTCATCTCAAGTTCCTGACTCCAGAACAGGGCACATGTTAAGAATAGAAAATGATATATCAATCCAGGAACCTGACATCCGGTATCAAAAAGATGTCTACCATTGAGAAATCAACTCCCTCAACAGTAAAACTGACCCGAATCATCACAGGCACAATAACATCCTTGGAATAAAATACATCAAGAGATAGCAAAATGGAAAGAACCGTAACAATTCCAAGCACCTCCACCATGACCCATAACACAGATGGTGTATAACTGAGGGAGAAAAAGATACATCCATAATACATGTGTGAGGACTTATGTTGATTGGTTCTACTCTAAATCCAAAACTGGCCACTGGGAACCAACATCTATGTGGGGGTAGGATCAGGGATCAAAATTGAAGGGGGTGAACTGTAATTTGATGTCTCACTCCTCTGGTTTTCATATGCTTTATAGTGGAGGATATCATGTCATCTACACCAGCAGAACACCACCACCCTACTCTGCACTGAATGGTATTTTTGTATTGATTTTTTTTCCATTAAACCATTCAGGAGGATGCCTCCATGGTCCACTACCCCAGCAGCTTGGAATTGGAAAGTGGTAAGAAGAAAAGGGGGAGTGAAATGTGATAGAGAGTCCAGAGGAACATCAACATTTGAGACAGTGGAATGGATGACCACCACCAAACCCCATTTTTAAAAGCAGACCATACCGAGTTATTCATTGCAAGGCATGGCAGAGATGGGCACCCATCCACTTCTGCTTTACCCATGTAGGCCATGGGTGGTATAGTTCGAGTTGGGCATATTTATGAAGCAATTCCATAGCAATGATAACCTTCAAATTATCTTGTGGAACACCCTATCTCAACAGTGTGCATTGCGTGGTCATGGAACATAATAAATAAGTCAACATGGCTGAACAGTGAGAATTTTAAAGGTTAAAGAATATTTGGTCAGGCTTCATTCACCACAGAGCAGGGTCCAGTAAAAAAAATTGGGAAATGCCCCTAAAAAAGAAGAGGTATATATAAAAAAAGGCAACCTACCCAGTCACAGTTGCATGAAATAGTCAAAGATAGCAATAGTTGAATGACATTACCCTGACAAGAAAGAAACAGCTACCCAAAGCAGAGAATGGGGGATGAACATACAAGATGTAATCCCAGTGCTCGTGAGACGAAGTACCTCCAACTGACAGCAAGGTAGACATACAGGGAAAAAGGGAGGTGCATGATAGGTATGAAGACACCAAGAAGTGAAGATTGGAAGAAGGATACAAGGAAAAAAAGCAAATCGAATCACAATCTAAATTCAATGGGTAAGGGTGGAAGAAAAACTACCAAACAAAGAAGTGGAGTAAGGGTAGAAAACATGTCGAAAATAAAGAACTTAGATAGGCCTGTCACATTCTGAAGTGGCACCTGTCAACTTGTTATTTTCTTAGTTTTTGGCCACTGAGGGTAGCTTATAAGTTCATCTCCCTTCCCTTTGGCTTTGTCTCACTACACTTTCTGTTGAGTAGTTAAAGCATTTGCTTGTTTTCTTCATTTCCTTAACATCAACTTTCACATTTACATGTATATTTTGGCCCTTTCATCCACTCAAATTTCTTACACACATTCAGTTTACTACCCAGCTAGCTATATATCTTGTGTGGATCACCACAACTCCAAATCTAATTTAGTGTCAACAAAATATTTGGTACCTCTGGTGTTTTGGATCCACATCAGTACGTTTCAAAGAACACTTCAGCCATCTCCTGTAGCATTGTAAACCTTAGAGTCTTGAGAACGTACTGTCTTTCACACCTACTGCCAAAGATATCCTTCTCCTTTGGAACCAATGGCTTCATTTTACTAAATTGTTCCTTAGAGACATGCTCACATGTCATACCTCCAAAGTGAATAGATCCATTGTCATAAAGCATAATTATGCCTTCCTCGCTCTCATGTTCTTTGGCTTTAGTTGATTCAAGACTTTATGACAGCAAGATCCCCTTCTCTTCTTTATCCTTTAGAACTTCATCTTTTCATAGATGTGTGTTTCTCTCTCTCAGGTTGGGGTACTGTGTTGAAGAATCAGCATCATTCTAGTTCTTGGTTTCCTCAGAAGCAGCAGCTCACAGCAACAGGTTGCTCAGTGTGCTTGTCTCAAGTTTCTACTTGTTCTATACCATCATTCAGAGTAGTACTTGTTCTTGCAACTTATGCTTTGGCACAGTTTTATAGTTTGTTCACCTTAGGCTCTGTCAGGTTTCCTGTGAGATACATTTTGGCAAAATTCATTTCTTAAGGTCATTGGCTTCTCCTCACAGAGTGGATCCATCACCCTATGGTTTTCTCAGTGGCAATGCAAATGAACATTTGTCCAATATTTAATGCCTATGCTACAGGGGACTACTATCTTATTCCCCAATATTGTCTCTGGTTTCAGATTTAATGTTCTGAGTTAATGTTGGGAGAACCTTTTCTTTTATGCCTAACTTCCTCTCCATTTTCTTCCTTGGGTACTTGCTGAGGTCAGTTCTCAAATTGCTAGATCTTCCTCACTGCTCAACTTTGGCCAACTCAACCACGGTTTCCCCTAATACCTCAACTTTCTTACTGGGAATCAGTCTCATTTTAACCTTGGGAACATCTTCTATGGCAACCTTAAACTTACATTTTTTTTGCATTGATATTCAATGTCTACAGCTTCATGGCTGGCTGCTCTTTAGCCCTTGTTCGAGAAGCTAGATTTTCTTCTCTTGTGGTTTGAATGTTAGACAATTTTTGCAGATGCTCTTCTCTGGCTGTTTATCAGTCTTGTTAGGCTACCTTCCAGAGTTGGTGCATTAAACATAACATATCTTGCTTTTCTCTGACTTCAATAATTGCTTCTTTCCTTATGTAGTTTCTTGTGTGATTATAAACTTCTTCAACAGCTGATTAATGAGCACCTTATCTGTCACTTTCAGATCCCAGTGAAGCCATCCAACTCTTCTGTCCCCATTGTCCTCTTCTAAGCCTATCGTCTTCATCACCACAAAGTTTTTAGACATCATCCAAAATGGAACTTGAGTTAAGTCATACATTTTTAATCTTCTTCCTTTTAGAACTCTTTTACTGCTATATTTCTTAAGCTGCGTGAGAACTTACCCACCATTTCTCATTTGCTGTGTTGTCTGTCTTCACTGATCATTCAGTGGAATTCTTTTATGTCCTGTCAGATTACTCACTGTTAACTTGCATGTACTGAATCTTTCAGATGTTAGCAAAAAAGACAGTTTATACCTTACAACATTTTTCACTGGCTACCTTAACATATTCGCTTGTGCAATTAACCAATTTTGCTTACTTTGATGTTTCCAAGCACTTTTAAAGTGAATTTAAGGTTACATTCCACCAAATTTGCCACTTCGTGATGTCTTTGTCATCCCAGTTGTAGCAATCTTTAGAGGATATTCTGCAGACTGATGTGTAAATGAATCCAAGTGTGTTTCTATAAATTTTAATTACATTACAATGCTGTATTTTCAATATTAATATTCCACATGCCTCCAGTTGTAATTCTTAAAGTCAGATGGAATCGTTAGCAGGCAAGTTCCTTTCTGTTACCTACTTAGTTAACTCTTGAGTTCACACCCAGGTATGAATATGCCTAACATCCCTTTTTACAAATACTGTGGAGTGTGGTGTTGAAAAGTCATTTAATTAAAAGAAAAAAAAAGGGTTCTCCATTATAAGTCTCCGTGTTTGAATAAGTTTGTCCAGACGAACTCTAGCATGTAACACGTACCTCTATCATGTCCTAGATAAACTAGTGTTTCATGAGAGGATGATATTCTCTGAAAATGAACAAAGACACCTCCTTGAGTAGCACTAGAGACAGTGGAGACAAGTTGACCATTCTCCATTATGATGTCTCTTAGGTCTAACAAGGATTGGAAACATCTTACAACTTTATCTTTTCTTAATCTTAATTGGTGTTTCCACTGTTCTATCCTAGAGCTGTCGAACCCATCCTTGCATCTGTCTAAGTCTTTTCGATTCTCCCTGGATGCCCACTGACTAGATGGCTTTCATGTTCAGTCACACAACACTGAACAAACTACATTTCATAAATCTTATTATATGATAATAAAATCAAACATCACAGAACATGTTCCAAGAAAATTTCTACAAGACTAACAAGTGTAATTCTCAAATTGGCCATTTCATTTAACACTTCAAACAAATTTAAATGGAAGTTTAAAAACAGTGCAAGGGCCCTTAAATCTTATAATTGTAAAACCACTCCAAGATTTCCATTAACCATCTCTCCCCACTGTTATTTATTATTATAAAAGTAATTAAAATTACAAGTACCAATCTTTTTAAGTTATTTAAGACTAGATTAGGTAAAATAAGTAATAATAATAATAGAATTTAAAATGATTCACTAGGCACACACACGAGCAAATCATGGATAATGTAATTCGATAGTGTAATGTGAGCTGCACGTTCCCTGAGTGATTTATAACTTATAATGGCACGAGTAGTAGTTAGACACGGTTTAAAGGGCAATAAAACAATAAAATTTAATTATAAATAGATGTATAATATTACGAGCTTAAAGCTACTTAGGATAAAGGAATGTAGTTTCATGTTACAATTTGAAGTCATTCTAGAAAGAAAATAAGGATGTGGTTACGAGGTCAGTCGAATTGACCGATCCCGTTTTGAGATAGGGTAGAGAAAATAACATATAAACTATAAGGAGTTAGTGAAAAAATCGTTTGAAATGCATTTAGAAGGTTTTTGGGATTACACAAAGGAAATATGAGATTTTTTGAGATGACGAAAAGTATTTTTAATTTTAACATGAAAATTACTTTGCACACAGACTATTCAAAACAAATACTCAGTATATTCATGGACAAATCTTTATTTTATATTATTAAAAATACTTCACTAAGAAATATGAATTTTTGTATGTGAAAGACTTGTAATATTAACTGAAAGACTGCCAAATATCATGAAGATATACCCAATATATTGAGAGTTATAAGTATTAAATTTATATCAACTCTAAATGAGTACAAAAGGTCATGTGACTCGGTCAAACTGACTGACCCCATGTTGAGAGAGTTAACTGAGTTTTCATAAATGATGCATACAAATGTTCACTTGATGCCTAAAAACAATACTAGTGTGTTCAAAACAATGAAGAAAAAATTTTGTTTTTCAGAAACAGACCATGATTACTACAAATTTTTCAAAAGACAAACAAATGTAAATCTTCAGGAATACTCACACGTGTGAAATATCAATGAATACATAGTATAATAAATAAAACTTCAAAGTGTGTGTATGTGCTAACAGTCCAAAATCCATTGGCCAGGTAAATTCATAAAATATATTAGTTACATTTGTTGTTGTTGATGTATTATAAATATAAGTAATAATCACAACATTTAATGCAAATATAACAACAAAAACAGTTCCCAGTTTCTGACTAATAATATAAAAAAAGAATTGGAATACCATATCATCACAACAAACAAATTCTTATCAATTTATGGATACTTCAGCACATAATCTTGAAGACTTTAATTCTTAAATCTTCTCCTAAATTGATTTAAGTTCAAAATGCAAAAGCAGAGTACATACTTGATCAACTCATGATACAGAAAATAACACGTTCAGCTGAATTATCACACTTAACCATACTCTTTGGAATACTGTAAATTTTGTAAACATAAAATATACATTGTTAGGGATTGAGATATGTGGTATCTACATACCACAGCACTTAAGTATATTGATAACTAAGTCAATTATTAAAAATGACAATTTTATGCTGAATATTTTGAATTTTTTCCATTTTTCGTAGCATGGGTATTATTTATTATTATATTTACTACCGTGAAATGCTATGATTTCATGAACAACAAAAATAGTTAAGATCAATGAATTACAAAACTAGGAAATCTTATATGTTAGTTTTACTGAGAGGGGTTTCATTATAAGATTTTCTCTCAGTGTTTTGTTAGTAAAAAAATCATGCAATAAAGTATAGTTTATTATTTACAAGGTCACTCCATTGTTGTAAGTTTTTATATTGCAAAACAGTTTCAGTTAAACATCATTTAGCTTACATAATCCTTTCCTCTTTCTTTCAGTTATTTTTGGAGCTCTGCTTTTAATAAATTTCACTGAAAATTTCTGGCTACACTATATTCCAACTTACACAATTTATAGTGTCAGTTACCAAATTTTCACATTATCCCACTTATGTACAGAAGACATTAATCAGTGTTGTATTCCAACCTAAAGCAAAAAATACAGATGAAATTAACCAGCAGTTATTATATGCCAAATAATTTTAAAATGACAAAGAAAGAAAAAAGCTATGAGCTAATGCAGAAAATGTGACTAACTTTGACAAACCAAAGAAAACAGTACACAATTAAATCTAGATTCCTGTATTATTACCTAAAATGTTAGATTGCAGATATCTATCTTTATAAAAATACCTTTATTATATAAGAACAAAAAAGTAAGCAAGCAATAAACTAATTACCTTTGCCATTCTATGTTATTTTCTTTCTGACCTTTCCATGGAATATAGATTACTAAAGATACTGGCCCTTCCCATGAAGATAAGCTTCTTTGTAGGACTCCCATTCTATCCATTGATATCTGTGTCACAAGTGTTACGTCTTTCTGCTTCGAATTTGTATTATGTCTGAAATTACAACAATAACGCTTATTTAACTAAAACATCCACCTAAAAACTCAAAAAAGCTAAAAACACAGTTATTTAAAACATCTCTACAATACCTCTACTCAGTCAAATAAAAAGGACTTTATGAGCTTCCAATTTTCAAGCAACATATTCTACTAAACATATATCATACTCCACAATCAATGCTCATTGTATTAGGTTTTACACATTCATCAGTTTTATAGCATAGATCAGGTAGTAGACTAAAAATTAACCTCTACTCAATTAAGTGAGTTTTAAATCTATCCCATTATTGCTTTGTATCACCAATGTATCATTTTGTGCATAACATGATGACTATTGCAGCATATCAATCTTATCAATACAAGTGGTTAATCAAACTTTTTAACAACAATTTACTTATCACTTCAGACAAGAACCTTGACTACACAATTTAAGTGTTTAACATCTATATATTTGTCTAACAGTGAATTCTCATTCATTCAGTAGTGCACAGTCACCATAGATAGAATTAATGCTCTTCAGATTTCAGAGGTAAGTCTGCTTGTTTAGTATAATTATAAAAAGTCAGTACTATAAGAAAAATAAGTAATAAATAAAGAGAAAAACAAAAACTCTTGGCTGCTGCCGTTCCGTAATGTCTCGTTGGTGCATATGTTTTGAACTAGCAAAGTACCCGGCTTCGCTCAGGTTATTAGGTTCCCATATTCTAGATGACCATGTCTGTGTGTGTATTTCGAACATATTTTAGCATGCCGCAAGTGAATATAGTCTTCATCTTGGAGCTTCTTTTCGTTTATGTGAACTAACCTCAACCTTTCTGTTTCATTTTTGGCATATATTATGAATTGCCTATTGCAATTTTAGTGGCGTGGGTGCAAGGGAGCTGTAAAACCTTGTAAGTGTAGTGAATGTTGGTATGGTTTAAAGAAATTAATAAATAAGCCTAAAGTAAATACATAGTGTGAGAGCCAAGTGCATAAAATTTATCATGAAAGTAAAGATATCGATCCAATTTTTAAACTTAAATCATTTCTCAATTACGGTATTTTCTGTTATATCACCGACGCTTTTAATAAAAACCAAATCTCTTCAATCAATGGAGACTGTCAATTAAGAAATCAACAAATATTTTTCTAGTTTTGTTGTTTATACATTTCATTTTATACTTTCAACAATATTAGGTTATACTTTTGTTGCTAAGTAACATGAAATAAAAGCCATTGTTAGAATGCACTGTTACCAAAACACACTGGCTTTTCTATATATTAGAAGTTGTTAATCTAACTGACATACTATGGAGTGGTAGTATTTGCCT